GAGTGGGGGGTAGTTGGGAGGGAGGCGGGGGGGGTAGCTCCTCCCTGACTTGTCCCCTTCCTCTGCCCCCGCAGCTGTCCTGCTCCAGCAATGGCACCGTGCGGCTCTGGGACCCGGCCAGCGGCTCCGCGAGTTCCTACCCCACTGCGGCCCCGTCAGTGCTGTCTTGGCCATGGTACATACCTGAGGGGGGGGGGGGCATGGTGCCAGGCATGGGGGAGCACCTTGGGCACTGGTACCATCCCTCACCCCCTCTCTCGGCGCAGGCTGGGCGCGTGCTGGCGGTGGTCTGCGATGGGACGCTGGCAGCATGGGACATGCTGGGCGTGGACCTGACCCGCTTCCCAGCGCACCCCGGGCTGGTGAACCAGGGCGCTGGTTTTGTGGGGGCTGATGAGCAGGCGCTGCCGCCCCCCCCCACCCCCCGGTGCGGGTCTGACCCCAAGTGCCCCCTGCTCTTCCCCAGTGCCCATCTCTCCGTGTCGCTCTTCTCTTGCAGACAGCGATTTCGTGGTGGCCACGGCTGGATGCGACGGGCGGGTGCAGCTCTGGAGCCCCCTGGAGGTGAGATGGGACCCAGGGGCTGTTTCCCCCCTCCCCCATGGGGACCCTGCCCCAGGGCACTGGCTGCCCCTCCCCCACTAACTTTTCTCTCCTGCCTGCAGTTTGGCCGCCCGCGGGCATTGGTGGGGCACAGCGCCCCGGTGTGTGGTGCTGCCGTGAGCCCGGCTGCTGCCCGCGTCCTGACAGTGTCAGGAGATGGTGCTGTGCACGTGTGGGCAGCGCCCTGGCAAATGGGTAAGAGACTGCTTCACGGGATACCCCTTCCCTCCTGAAGCCAGGAGAGAAGTCCTGACTCCCAGCCCTGCTCTAACCACTAGACCCCACTCCCCTCCCAGAGCAGGGGAGAGAACCCAGGAGTCCTGGCTCCCAGCCTGTGTCTCTCCTGGCAGGATGTGTCAAGGGTCCCGGCTGGCACCGTGGGGCCATCTCTGCTCTTGCCTGGTCTCCCGACGGGACGCTGGCGGTGTCAGGCGGGGAGTGTGGGGAGCTGATTGTGTGGGGGGAGGCCAAGTCCCTGGCCACGGTGCAGGTATGTTGCGGGGGTGTGTGTGGAGAGATGGGGCTGCTCCCTGAGGCTGGGGGGTGCGGTGGGAGGCGGGGGAGGAGAGCGGGGAAGACAGATGGAGTGGGCGAGATGGGGAGCAGGAGGGAGGTTGTCAGGGCGGCTGGGGGAAGGCGGGGGTGCCTCAGTCCAACTCCCACTCACTCCCCTCCTACACAGGCCAGCTCGCGCAGTGTCTCTGTGCTCTCGGCTTCGCCACCTCCTGCAGCCTCCTGGTGGCGCCGGCGGCCGGGAGCATCTGCCTGTGGGGCCTGCATGGTGACCCCAATACCAGGGCCCTCAGGTGAGCTGGGCAGGGCAAGCTGGATGCCTGGGTCCCTTCCTGGCCCTATCTCTCCCTGGGGAGCAGGGGGAGGGCCACGGAGGTCCCGTTTCCCGTACCAGTCTCTGCAGCAGCAGGCCTGGGGCCCCCACACTGACCGCGTCTCTCTCTCTCTGAGCCTGGAGCATGAGCGCCCCTGGAGGAGGTGGCAGCTCCTGTTACCTGCATGGGGCCCCCGGTTCCCTGGTCCTGGGGCTAGCGAACGGGAAGGTGCTGCTGTTCAGAGTCCACCAGACGGTGCTGAAGCCCCTCTGGTGAGTCGGGAGGTGGGGTGTGTGTGTGTGCGCCTGTGGCTCCTTCGGTGAGTGAGGGGTTCAGGGGGGGTCCCTGCAGTTCCCTTGGTGAATGGGGGAGGTGGGGGGGGCCTGCAGCTCCTCTGGTGAATGGGGGATTGGGGGGGGGGCAGCCCCCTACGTTCCTGGGTTTGACCCTCATCTCTGCCCCTGTAGCTTAGTCAGCCCGGACACCTGGGTTCCAGACCCCCCTGAGTACCTGTTTGATGTGGCTGTGACCTCAGATGGGCGGCTTCTTCTGTGGAAGGGGGTGAAAGAACCCACTCTGTACGAACTGGTGACTGGGCAGAGAACCCCAGAATCTGGGCACCGAGCCCTGTCCCCCTCTCCCCAATGCGCCAGGCCCCACTCCCTCCCAGAGCTGGCAGAGAACCCAGGCGTCCTGGTGCCCAGCCCCACCCTCCTCCCCCCAGCACACTAGGCCCCACAGCAGAGAACCCAGGAGTCCGGGCGCCCAGTCCCCTTCCCCCCCCA